ACTAACTAGTACTGTATATGTGGAATGTGCAATTAACTACATTTTGCAAGAACCTCATTCACCATTGTACTCAAATCTGCAACGTGTCCCTCATCTGTTTTGTAAATATCAGCAGGTATCAAAAAAAGACAGCATTTCAAAGAGGGAAAGCTTATGGGAAACATTTGAGGACAGTGTTAACATTGTTTTAAGGAGAGTAATCCTGTGGGTGAAATAAACCACACAGTGGCATTAAGGAGTTTAACTTGTCCCTGTAATGATGGGAGTGTCTCTGCTGTAAGCCTGCAGTTCTGTGTGGTTGTTGCAGATGGAAATTAAAAGGTTGAGGTAGCAGAATGTTTAAATTTCTGAATCTTTACGCTGAGAACGTATACAGCCTTTGAACTCCCTGGGCAGCGCAGAGGAAGAGAGACAGAACGGGCATTTTATCAGTTCCAAAGAGCTGCTGCTTTCATCTTCCTTGTTTGCCTTCTGGTGAACTAATTAGCTGTTTCCTTCCCGCTGAGTGTTTTGGGGTGGGCATGGCAGAAGTCCGAGGTTAAAGGGTGGCACTGGCCAGCGGGGAGATTACAGGTTTGGCTAGTTACCACAGCTTCTGGAACATGGAGCTGTGGGCATTACATGTGTTGGCACAGGGTGCGCGCACTTCAGATGTGGTCAGGGACATGTGGAAGCTTTCGAGGGTTTATCCTGCTCTGCCCAGGTTAGGACTGCTGATGGGAGAAGACTGGCATTAACAAAAGTCAGACATTGAAAACCTGTACTCAGACGAACAAACATAGGGATGCTTGTGTGTAAACATGAGAGTTTGTGTGCATGCTTTTATGTCCCTTATAATGTGGTGCTTTTCTGAGTGTGCATTACGATAACTACACTTTGGTTTTGAGAAACACAAACCAAAAATTAAAGTCAAGAAATATGTTTGCAGTTGTGCTTTCAGGATTGGTTTACCTCCTAATCATCAGTTTGCATGTTTGGCTCTTTTAGGTTCACACTTCACTGTTACAAGCCGACAGGGGACTGTTAACAGAATTAACAAGGAGGCACAACTGAGCAAGCGGCATGTTTAGCTTCTCTGTTAGCAAGACCGCTTGATTGAAGTTCAGGGTCTTTCTTTGCTTAACTTAAAGTGAAAAACTCATAGATTTTAAATGCACATATAATCAAATATTCTTACCTTGATGCCTGTCTGAACTTTTCGACAGTGAGATTGAAGCACAATCTTTATTGGATTACTGTTCTCACCTTTTCCTTTGCTTGTTTTGAGACAGTGTTCCTCCTTAATGCCCGAGGAGGCCTCTGACAGGCATGGTGACTGACAGAGTCTGACTGACAGGACCTTTGAATTAGAGAGATTGGCAGCTCTGTTTACACACTGTGCACAGGGGCGTTGCAAATCCAATGCTCAAGTCAAAAGTCAAAGAAACCTCAAAATTTGGGTCAGTGTTTCCCACGCCAAAGTCTATGAACCATGCTAATTTTGCTATGATGAAACCCCCCCTCCCCCCTGCTCTTTTCTCTCTGCGTCACTAGCGTCCTGCCCTGACCTAAACAGCCGTATCTTTCATCATAAAGTCACTCTGAAGTCAAGGGTTTCCACTCTGCCCAGCCAAGCTGCCTGCTTTCTTTGTGTGGGATGTTAAGTGGCCAGTTTGGGCTGAAATGTGGATGGTATGTGTTTCACATGTGACACTGGCCCTCTGTAAAGGCCCATAACACTGTGTGGATAGTTATCTTAATGAGGCAAAGGACTCTTTTTATGGGTCTGTTTGTTCATATTCAAAAATCTAACATGTTTGATATTTTCAGATTTTTTTCTTATACAAACCACCTGACCACACATAGTGGTGTTTGATCAGGTAAACATAATGACCTTGGGTTGTCTCCTAATCAATCCTTATCCAATAAAAAAAATCAGTGAGCTCTTACTTTGAAAATACATTTATATTCTAAAATCTTCAGAAAATGCAAGAAAATCGGCAAAACATTGACGTTCAGTACAGCAGGAAACTGGAAGTTCCCACTGATGACAGCATGGGCTCACAGTTTACAAACGTACAGCACCAGGTACATATTTAGAAAGTGTGATAGATGTATTAGTAGAAAGTGACCCTGTCTGCAGTGAAATGTAGCCTATAGCTTCCTAGCCAATACTCTGGACAGTTTCTCAGTAAAGGAGCTTTGCTGACCGATACTTTCTTTAGACATGTACCACATAAAACCTTACTCAAGAATACAACATATCCCTTTAACTGCAAAATAATGCATAAATAATTTTGACATGAAAATGTTTCTGATAAATTATAGCCTTGTGGTGTTGCCATTTAATATATGACACAAAAACTCTTACAGGGGCTCATGAATTTCTTATGTTTGGAAGACATTAGCTTAAGAGAAAGCAAAAAAAATGTAAGTCCATGTCTACCATTGGTACTTTACTGCATACAAGCTTGTTTGTGCTTGTGTGTGTGTGTGTGTTTTGTTGGTCCTTTTTCAGTTTTGAAGTGTCCAAATGTGAGATGTAAAAGTAACAACCCATTTTCTGTCAGAAAAAGCACAAGAGGAAGATGTAAGAATGCTGTTAGTGCCACTCTGAGTGCGTCTCAGCTAATGAAAGAGCAGTGGGAGACTGTGAGAGGGTTGAACCTGGTTTTACAGCCTCATATTAAGCTCAGCTTGCCTCATGTATTTTAAGACTTCTTTTTCTCCAATATATCCTTCATGGTCAGCTGTGGCAGACAGCAGACCAAGCAGAGCAGTGGTGCATCATGGGCCAGCTGCTGTTGCAAACGCACAGGGAGTCAGAAGCAACCAGCTGGCTCTCTGTAAAGTAGAAAATCTTTTTCGATAATTGAGGAAGGTTATAATTCTGAGCTGCTTCTGTCTATTTGAGGTCCGTTAAGTACAGACTGCAACAAGCCTCTGCGAACAACAGATGGATCCAAACTCGAGTTTTAGTGTCAGAAATAACTAGTGCCCTTTTACAGTCGGATGATTTAGTACTGTCAGCGAAATAACTAACTATGTTTAAGTTGACCTTAACATGCTGACCTGTTTTAACTATACAGAAATGACATGTCATATACATTTTACATTTTGTAGAATAACCATTTTGTAGAATAAAAAAGCTGACTCAACTTTAAAGATTTTAGAATTACTCTCAAAATCTATTAAAGGTAAGGCTGCTAAAAGAAAGGAGATGACAGGAAGAAAACATTGTAGATGTTCATCCATATCAGAAATGTTGTGTTTTTTCTTGTTTCCTTCCCAACATCCCCTTTCTTTTAGCAGCCTTGCCTTTTATAGTTGTTGATATGAATTCTATAATCTCCTCTTTAAATGTAGTCGGCTTGTTTTATTCCATTTGTCCTACAAAATGTAGAACAAATGGATTTGAAGCTTATCTGTGGTCATCATGATGAGTCCTCTGATTTCAAGTCCACCAAATTTAACTTGTGTTTTATTTCATATCTTAAGTGTTCTACTTCCCTCTATCAGTGTGTCTTGTTAGAACTGCTTTTACACAGCCAGGTACACAGAAAGTGTCAGTGGCTTGGAAAGGCTGTAAAATCGCAGCGGCCTGGGCCAAGCATCCATGAATCTGATCCACAGTCTTCCTTCTGACTCAACAGCCAGCAACAGTAGCTGGCATGTTGTGGCTGAGGTTTCAGTGGGTCGCTGGTCCTTTTTAGATGAAAATGAACGAGTAAATGAAAATGCCCTCCATTCTGTATCATGCCTCACTTGCAGAGAATAGTAGAGAGGGCTGTTCTCCTTCTCAAAATAGGACTAGATGCTTGTTCAGGGCAACTCGGGGACAAAGCTCAGCCATTTCTATCAAGCTGCAGCTGCACTTGAAGTTGTTGAAGTCACACTAACTTGACACCTTTTTATCAGTGAGATTAATGTCTTCTCTCAATGGTCAAAGGTCAGTCTCGTCAAGGTGAAGACCTTGACACTAAATATGTGCATGTTTTTCCATATTCTCCACTCAGAGGTCAGGGTGAGTTAGATCAAAGGTATAGCTGGTTATTAGTCTGGGCCTTGTTGTGTGTGTGTTTCTGAGTAAGTGCATTGAAGAAAGTGGACATCACACCAGCATGTGAGCAAGCAGTGGCCTCTCTGAACACAGATCTTCAGAGGAAAGCCCCTCTGGGAGCAAACACCCTGGCAGAAACAGAGGACATGTCACTTCTCTCAACACTCAGGAATGTTTGAACAGAATAGATTGGTGAATATTTTCCAAAATATTCAATTGTTCGAAGTTCAAACAGAGTTTTCAGAGCGTAACTGAGCCGGGGGGTGAAATACCAAGAATCCAGATTGACCTTGATAAAGGTTGCTTAAAGGAAATTAAATCAGATCAGTTGACTTTGTACTGCCCAGACAGATATGGAAGTCATTTTGATGGTCTCATCTTCATCTCAGCAGGAGATTTATCTTTTTTTTTTTTTTTTTTATAATATTTGTATTCCTTTCATCTTATAATATAGAACGAGAAGGCTTGGCTTGTGTCCACTAAGTTGTACACTTGGAAAGACGAGTCAGATTAATCTATGCCATTTTTAGTTGATATCTGAAGTCCCTCTCCTTCTTGATTGATTTTGATTGGACGGTGAGGGAGAAGTGACATTGACAAACATGGCGATGTTTCATAAGTTTAGCTATTTTTAACTGGGAGAGCTTTGAGTACAGTGACAAAAAAAAAGAGTGACAACAATCGGTTTTAAGTGCTTACAACACAGAACTGCAACCCCGATTATACTTCTCCTATCAGTCATTTGGAGTCAGTTAATGTTAGCAATTCAAGCTCCTCCTCATATGAAATGGCACTTGCTCAGCCGGTCAATACACAACAAGCTGTCATTGCACAATGTTCCTCTCCCCTAAACTATGGTTAGAGAAAGCATTTAGCACACAGTGGTGTTTAACTCTGGATGATGCTGTGAAAGTTAAGACGGTGTAATGAAGTATCTGTGTGTGTGTGTGTGTGTTTGCAGGGCATGGCGTTCTCCCTGGAAGAGCGTCTCCAGCTGGGGACCCACGGCCTTCTGCCTCCCTGCTTCATCAGCCAGGATGTCCAGCTGCTGCGGGTGCTCAAAAACTATGACATGCAGAAAGACGACCTGGACAGGTGAGGCTGACACACAAACAATTACCACAGCATAGTACCTTTTCATTCTCTATCAGCTTCAAATCACTGGAGTTGAACTTTAAATGACTCCCTAGAGTATTCCCTGAGTATGTGCTCACTCATACATCCCACTGTACATGTGGAAGCCTTCAGAACACGAGGCGTAGATTAGCGATTAGTCCTCAGAGATCCATATCCATCTCCCCACACCACATATTTCACCGAACAAATCCCCTCAGTCTTTTCTCCTCCTCCTCCCCGTTCTCCTTCACGAGTGTTTTTATTACCTCCGCAGTGACCAAATGAAAACTACAATTCCAGTTTTGCACACTTCATTAGACACTTAAGAGTCAAAGCTGATGGCATTATGTAATGAATCTGACTCATATTCAGTCTGGACTCCTTGATCACTGTTTTGAATTATTTACTGGCACTAAAGATTATCCAACTGTTAAATTGCCTCTTATTTCAGTCGCCCTCTCTCAGTCAACCGTTCCATCAGCTGTCAATCCTAATGCCAAGGATGATTGGGCTGCTTCTGAGACTGACTTAAAGTTTAACAGTCATTTTAACTCTATTTATTTATTTAAAAAAATGCAGCACCTAAAAAACAGTCATTATGAGATTATGTAGCCAATTCCCATGCTCTACCAGTGTCACTGACAATCTATCTCTTTGCCTTGTTGCATTCCAGCTTTGGGCTCTGATCCTGGTCCTCCATTAAGGACTTCTATTTGCCTGCCATTACTCAGGCCTGCTGTGTTTACTTACAGTCTGTTCCCTGACTCTGGGTCCTGGTCTGGTATTTACTGCTGGATGCTGGCATTTACTTTTCCTACAATAACTTTCACTGGTTCCCGTTCTATTTTTAATCAGAGATCTTGACTCCCATATTTTGCAGTCAGTGGAATGTGTGGTGTTTTTTCATTTATCGGACAAACTATGGCAAAGAAAATAGCCCTGCAGGCACAAGCTTTTATGATCTGAGTTGATGGAGAGACCTTAGTTCCTTCTATGACTGAGTTGTCAACAGAGGAAATAGATGTTCAAAAGGCTTTGCTAACTGAAATACTGCAGTGTATAAAAAGAAACAGCTCAGAGGAAACCTCATATCCATAAAGGTTGCAGGGAAGCAGTAACAAGCTTCAAATGGTCCCAACAGAGCAGAGCAAGGGTGATCAGTCATGCTGCGATAGATTAGGATAAAGATAGAATATATCCTGGTTGCCTTATTTGACTTCAAAGGAAACTCTGTGTCAGTAAGTCGGCATAAATCCTTCTTTATAAAGTGTCAAAGTATAGTGTGTACAGTAAATATTCCTCTTTCCTGGATGTGGATTAAACTTTCCCCTTTTAAGGTTAGGAATAAAGAAAGAAACTTTCCTTCATGTTTGCCAGCATGAAATCACACAATAGCTCTCTTCAGTATGTTAGGATTTGATGTGTTATCTAATTATTAAAGGTCACATATTATGAAAAATACACTTGACCATGTTTTTCTAACACTAATATGTGTCCCTATCCTGTCTTCAAACCCCCCCAATTATGAGAAAAGTCCATCCTCTCCATCTTTTGCCTGCTCCACTTTTCAGAAAATATGGAGTTTTCTCTTCATGACATCACAAAGGGCAGTAACCTCTCCCCCAGGTGGGTGATGTAAACGATAGGGCATGGAACAAGTAAACCAGAGACACTCACACCCTTCTAGAGAGGGGGCGTGGTCAGACACAGAAACAGCCTGTTCTGAGCAGGGCTGAAATAGAGGGGTTAATAGGCATGATCAAAGTGGATAACAAGAAACTTCACAGACATGTTTTAGGGACTTATATAATCTTGACTATTTCGACATTTATGAAAAGCAAGTTTGTTGGTTTCTCGGATGTCCTTCAAATTGATATGCCATCTAAAAGAGGGAATGTAGTGATTATCTTTGATACAGGCATATCAAATTGCTTTGTACCAACAACCAAGAGGGAACGTTTTAATCTTTTAATCCTTAATAATATTGTGCTAACTTGTTAGAACACAGAAAAAAGGGTGCATGGTTTGGTTTTCTTTTGGAGGGGGCACCTCTCGGACAGAGGCTAGCAGGTTTGACTCCTCATCCTGGGGCTATTTAGTACCATTCAAGTATCAAGCTGTATGACTTGACTCTGAGGAATTGTAGTCTTTTAGACAAATCTCAGTGTTTCCCTTACCTAAGAAGTAATATATATTTAATTGAGGGTACACAGGAGTTTAATTGCATGGTTAACACATTTATGTTATCAGATATTTAAAAAATAATTGATACATTTGTTAAAATGTATTTTAACCATATATAGCAGCTCCCCCTGTTGTTTTGGTGAGCTGACCACCCTCACATGATACTTTGTTCCAAGACCTCTCTAAAACAGTTATTTCCATGTCTGTATCCCCTTTTGTTGCTGAGGTATAAGCCTTCAAACATGCCCTTGGGTCAAGGTTCAAAGGGCATTATTTCAAAACAGTCATGTTGAAACCTCATCTTCACATATGTTACTCTCCAGGATGAGACCTTTCCAACGATGTATGTCGTTCAGCTCTGAGCCAAAAACTTAAATATTCTCATTTCATAGGCAAGGGGTCTTACAGTCATACTTTCATAGAGCTCTTTCAAAGCCCAGTACATAAAATGTTTTTTTTGTTTGTTTGTTTGTTTGTTTGTTTTGGTTTAAGTTTATCATAAAATCTGGGGAACTATATGCTTGGAGCCTTAAGTGCTTGGTTTAGAATTATGGCTAAAAGTAAAAATCTCTTATGCTCTTGTCCATATGAATTCATCCTAGTACTTTTTTTATCCTTCTTTCCTTATAGAAGAGTTAATCTAATTCGTCATCTGTCATTGTTTTAATATTCAGAATCGATTGTGAACGTGCCCTCGGCCTTTAAACCGACAGTGGGCGTGACTGCACGATTGCACATGACTGGCAGACCATAGCATTATGGGCTTTTTTCCTGGGATGGGATCTTTGGTTAACACAGATTTAAGATGTGTTTTTGCAACCAACCTTAAAAAACATCAGTAAATACCCCCTGAAAGATCTAATAAAGAGGTCGCTCACAAGTGACGATTATTAATACGTCATTATTTGATGTCAGTGTCATGCGCCTGTTGTAGTTCTAATCGCCGGCCGTTTACTTTATTGATTGCATTTTATGGATTATTTTGTTAAATAAAATTATGAAATCATATAAATCACACATGAACTGTACAGTATTGTCTTTATGTATTGTTACATGTTACAGTTTATAATGTTGCTAATATGCATCGATCTGTTCCAATCGTTTTATTAAATTTGGTTGTAATGTAAGACATCCATAAAAATGTAACAGCAATCATTATTTATTGCATCGGAGCTTAGTTTGATATCTAGGGTCGTTTTAAGAGCCGCGAACCGAAAGTCCACTTCCTTCCGGTTCGTTGTTGATAGCGTCCATAGCTACCACCATAGCAACAGTAGAAAACGTAACATCCCAGCGTTTTTCTATAGAGACCTGAAAGAATCTTCATAGAAACGAACAAATTAAAGATCATAAACATAAACCGAACGAAGATTATGAATATACAATGTACATTTGTTGCCAGAAAGGTTATCAAAACGACACTTAAGCCTCAAACTATCTTAAAATATTGCATTTTCCACCGAAAATAGAAGGGATGTCCACCATGTTTTGCTTTTTTTCTCCATGGGAAAACTGGGCAGTCACGTGACCTGAGGTATGCCTATACAAAAGAATAGGCAAAAGGAAACGTAGGCATGTCACAATTTTAGAGCCATTATTGTGAAACTACTACGTTTTGTGCTGTGAACCAGTGTAGGTATTACATATTTTGACATGAGACTGGGTTGACTTCAGAAGATGCATCTATGGCAAATCTGACTTCAACTCCATGGACTAAGGCAAACCGAAGCTTTTTCTATGATGAATTGCATGTGGCAGAAGCTAATTTGGTTCACCAATATGAAAACAGTTTTCTGCAAGAGCAACTGTCACCACAGTGTATTGTGCAGCTGCTGTAGCTTAACCTATAGCAGAAAGGGCGTGCATGCTTTTTATCCCCTTAACAAGAGGCACCTTGTACTCTTGGCTCTATGGAAACTTCTCTGATTAGATGTAGAGCCCATTTCTAGCGTGCTCTACTTAATTTGGGTCATATGCAAACCCTCAGTTCCTGTTCAGTCAGAACAAAGAGCTTGTGTAGACTAACAGAGGGGTGGATTTTTATTCTGTGTATTTTTCCAATCATTTGGAACAGAAGCAAATCAACTCCTTAACAGTAATTATTGTACATGTGAGCAGAGGGGTATTTTCTTCTCATCGCTTCCATCTTCCTTTTTTGTACACTCATTGCTTGGCTTTCACTGACAGTATTGAATTAGCCCAACAGACCAATTTGCAAATGCAAATTATTCTGCAACCTCTTTGTTCTTTTGTTATTCCCAAGGCATGTTACTAACTTGCAAACTAAAATACCTCAGGTTAAAATTTGCTAGACCTACAACTGATCAAAGCAACCAAACTTGAGGTCCCAAAATGCTGCTAGGTCAGGTAACAGGCCCCACTATTAAAATCATGAGGTCTCTATATCTTCATACATGGATGTTTGTCAAGACACAATTAAGTAACCAGCATCAAAATGGAAATGCATTCTAAAATGTGTGCCTCTCTCTTTCATGTACAAAAAATCCTCCAGGATTTCCTTGCAATTCCCTTTATCTTGCCCAGTAACACACATCATTTAACATCTGACTTTAATAAACCACCCCTGGTCCTGAAGGTGTAAGTTCTCAAGATGTGAAAGATTAACATCCTGCTTCTCCCTGTCACTCACAGATATGTGTTTCTGATGGGGCTCCAGGACCGCAACGAGAAGCTCTTCTATCGGGTGCTTTCGTCAGACATCGAAAGGTTCATGCCCATCATTTATACTCCCATTGTGGGCCTGGCCTGCCAGCAATATGGACTCATATTTAGAAGACCAAGGTAAGACACACTTACAACATTAAGCTATAAAAAAGTTTCCATGTTGCAGTTGGAAAAAAAATAATAGCAGTGAACAGGCTGGCCAAAAGGAAGTGGGTGTTACTGTTCTCTCTCACCCTGCTAATCTTCCACCACTCGGTTATGATGTGTTTTATGACCCTGGCAATTTCATAGTTTGTGTTTCTTCAAATGCTGGCTGTGTGGTACATACTGTATATTGTTGTAGAAAATAAATACTTGGTCACAGGTTTGCACCAATCACAGTTCATATTTATACATATTGTAGAGTTTAAATGATTAATCCACCATCACTCTGATGGCAATTGACTTACAACACAAGAAGTTAAATGTGTTTCAAACAACCTGAATTTTTCTCACCATCACTGGAAACACTGCAAATACCAGAACAATTTTAAGAGTTTTCCAACAGTAAACTTGGTCCTTTAATGAAAGCAAAATGCAACAAAGAAATGACCTTTATATTTAGACATTATTACTGTTAACGTTTAAAATAATACAAAGGAACATAAAAAAAAATATTTCTAGATCCCTCGTCAAATTCCAACGTTCTTCAGAAAGGCAGCCAATGAAAACAGTCAGGTCATAAAATCATAAGTAGAACAAAAGATTGAGAAATAAATAGCCTACTGTATGTCTGTAAGAAGTACAATTCATCTGAAATAGTTTTGAATCAAGAAAAGGCTCTTTGAATAAATGGTTTTAAGTAGATCACTGACTCAGTTGACCTGGCTAAAATTTGAGGGGTTGGAAAATGCTCTGTCCTCTTAAATTTTCAGCCTGGCGTTGGGGACACACTGGAGTCCTTTGGCCAAAGATCTCAACAGTTTGTGTCAGCTGGTACCACACTAAGAGGTTCAGAGATAGAGTGGGTTGACCTGGAAAAGCTTAGGAAAGTCAGTAAAATCTGTTTTTAAAGATTTATACAAAGTGCAAGAACATTTAGATAGCTAACATTTAGATAAGCTAACCATTAAGTATTTTGTAAATCGATCCAAGTCAGCTTAGTAGAGAAAAATCTTGTTTTTTGTCAACCTAGTCCTACACGAGCCCTACACGAAACACTGTGATGTCAACTGAAGTATCAGATCTGATGATAATCTACCCTGATGCAGCTCCATTAAATTGACTTTAAATGTTACACATTAAAGCATATCTTTTTAACACGACACAGCAAATCAAAATATTCCATTGGAATGAAACCAAATATCCAAGGACTTTTACATTGGTACCAAAATATCAACCAGGTTTGGAGGATGCTTTGGCTCTTTCATCCATAACTCAGCCCGAGGTAAACAACTGTGAGCTGTTGAAAACAAAAAATCAGGGTTCACCTTGGGTTGATCTGGCTCTCCTCTGAGCAGTCTGACATTCACTGGTTTTCTCTCCTCTTCTACTGTAAACACACTTTTACTCTCTGCTTCTCCCACACACATTCACACACCTTTTCTGCTAGTATCTGTTTTCCATCAAATGGGTTCATGAGGTCCAAGTCTCTCAATATCTGACAGCAACACTTCCTGAGTAGTTACTAGTAGAGATGAAGTTGAAAGTGCTTTAATTCTTGGTGCAGCATTCAGTGAAATAATCTGTTTCATTTGGCTCTTCATCTTACGCAGGTGGTTACCAGGGTTGGGTTTGTTTTTACTCTTATCAGAGTGATAGGAGAAAGACCACCCTGGTTAACAGACCTTCACAGGCTCTTAAGCTCAATTAATGGTGTTAGCAATATTCTTTGACTTGACAGGATTTAAACAGATACATATGAGCCTACACTCAAGAGCATGCGTATAGTTAGCCATTGCTAGTAGCATTGCAAGCATTCCTATAAATGTGATTGTCACTGGGATAAATTTGGCTTTAGGTTTAGTATATCAGCATAATAATAATAATTATACTTTATTGATACCGCAAGGGGAAATTCATTTTAGTTGATGGTTAGAATCACAAAATCATATAGAAATAAATGGTAATTTGGAATCCTTTAGAACGATGTCTGTGTGGCTATCTTTCCAATCCACTGCAATAATGTTTCATTGATGGATTCATTACATTTCTTTTCACAATTTGTTCTGATTAGCTGTGAAATCCAAGCTTTATTAGTGTCCAAGCAGTTTTATGTTCAGTGCTTACCTTGGATGGATTTTAAAAATGGGGAAACCCAAGATCTCCCATGCAAATGACATTGTTACCCAACAGCTCCCTTTCTCCCGTCCCTGCAGAACTATTCAGAAAATATTCCTGGCATGCTTCCCCGACTCTCACCCTGAGCTGACAGTAGGAGTCATACACTCCCTCAATTCCACAGCACTGAGGAGCTGCTGGCTGCGGCCCAGGGGTTGAGAGTTGGGCCTGTATTGGAAATGCACATCAGGGGATCAGTTAGCAGGATACTTTGCGGGCATTGTGGACTTTCTTGACAGAGTTAGAGTTTCAGCTATAGCCTGATTCTCACAAATAATCATTCCTGAGAAAAGGTGAGCAGCTGGGGCCATGATAGATATGACTCTGCTTTTCAGAATCTTTATTTTGTCTTTACCTTTTTAGCCAACCTAGAGGCATGGTTCCAAGGAAAGTTAAGTCAGCCAGTCTTTGAGTCATTGCTCATGACTGAACTATCTCAACAAATACAGGAAAGATTGCAATACAATTATACTTCAAACATATATTAACACTCTGGGTCCTCAGAGGATGACGCCAACAAACCTTATAATCTACTGATTTCTACTCTGTTACTCTAATTAACTTGGATTGTTTTTGGATAAAAAATCTGGAATTCTGGATGGTTTGGACAAAAATGAGAACATTGTTTCATGGTTCACTGAGGATATCTTGTTTTTGCATTTGGTCAACATTATTTGGGTTTCAGTTTAATCCCTCTGACAATTTCTTGATGATTTGCTTGGAAATTGGACACATACAGATTACCCATTAGGAAGATATGTCAAGACTTACAGTCAATCCTTTTTAATTTCCATTGTGTCGATCACAAATACGTTTATTTCATGATATTCACTTTTCAGTCAAGACAAGAGACCTCATTACAAGTAAAAGGTTATTTTGATACCACTGCGTTTCAGCGTATGCTTGCATAGTAGCTTGAATGGCTGTATTGGTGGATCAGGTAATGAATAATGTTTCAATCTAAATCTATTGCACAAGACTTTTAGCATTCTTTAGGAATGCCTGTAATGGATTACCATTTCCTGTGTGTGTGTGTGTGTGTGTGTGTGTGTGTGTGTGTGTGTGTGTGTGTGTGTGTGTGTGTGTGTGTGTGTGTGTGTGTGTGTGTGTGTGTGTGTGTGTGTGTGTGTGTGTGTGTGTGTGTGTGTGTGTGTGTGTGTGTGTGTGTGTAGTTCAGCTGGACCACCACAGCAGCAGATTAGGTCTCTAATCACTGGCTCACAGGTAGGTATAAAGACTTTCTGTATGGAAGTAGCAGCCTCGCCTTGTCTTGCCTGACTTTACCCGCTAATCTGCCTCACAGAGACTAAACACTCAGACACCAGGCTCTGTACCAGAGGCCAAAGGCCAAGCCCCATTAAGTGTCTAAACAAGGCTGATTCACTGATCTTTGGACGAGGCCGAGGCAGGAAGGAGAGCAGGAAAAAGGAACACATTCACTACATTACAAGATTAGTGGACATGCTTACTTTTATTAGTTTGTACGCTCATGAGCGGACAGTGTTCAGCAGAGAGAGTTGGTCTGTCTTCACACAAGTCTGTGTCTGTTTTCACCATGAATGCAGGTTGTACACGTTGTTTGACAGGTGAAAGTACTCAGCTGTGATAAATGATAATGTTTAGTAACTGAAAAATGATCCTAAGGATTACATGAATGTAATTTGGTTTAAAATCAGTCATTTGCAGCGTCATCATGCCCTCTGTGGTGTACTGCCATCGAGTGTCCAAATAAACTTGTCATGAATAAAAGTTTGACTGAAGGAGCGCTCTTGTTAAGGGACCTAAACCAATCCATCTAGATGATGGAGATGGATGATCATCAGTAGCCTGTTAGAGGATTACTACAGCTGTCTGTCGGGGCTGGATAGTAAGACATAGACATTTCTAATCTCCTGAGAGGTAGGGTAGGGCAAAGACCAGATGCTTTACTTCTCTCTTCTATGCCATTCAAACTACATTAGCCACAGTTATTATTGACTGTATTACAATATATCTTTTTATATAATTTGGAATGCTTTGGTTTTAAATTGCACTTGCCAAATAAATCAATAACTGCTCCATTTGATCAGTTTGGGGTTAAGTACCTTGAGGGCACCTCAGAATAAATCTGAGTTGGGAAAGTCAAAAAGTAGCAACCCCCCTCCATTACTGTCAGCTCTGCTTTGTAGCAGCAGGGTGACCAAATGACCAAAGCCCGAATGGATTTTACCCAATGAAAATATCCCACCAGTGCAACAGTGTATCTGGCTGACATGTTTTTGAAGTTTTGTTTTTATATAACAATGGCACTCTAATGCACGAAGGAACCAGATATCACATATCAGGCACTATTCAATGCTGGTGTTGTCATTTCATTGGCTTTCTCGACGTAAAAATTATTCGAGGCCTGTTTTCATGTCAAAGTTCAACAAAAATGTTAAATCATTGAACAGAAAAAGAAAAATCTGTGATTAGCACTTTATTTCAAGAGAGATCAGTCTAAAATGGACTGGCTCTATCAGACAGCAAAAAGAATGTTAACATTAATAGTCATCAGTACTATTACTTGTAGTGTAGGACAATGTATTAGACCATAACATATCTGTGTGTGCGAATGAAACCATTCACGAACACAGTGCTATGAGACATATGAAATACTAACTGAAAATATATATATCGTTAGCATCATAGCATAATTGCCTAAATCATATTTTAAGGTTTTCAGAAAAGAAGGAAAAACGTGACTCGAGTCCACCGCTCTGCAGTTCATAATTCCCATGATCAACTGAAAGTACATTTACGATATAAAAAGTTGAAGA